AGGCTCTATGTCCCACGGGTACTGCCGGAACGTAGCCCTGGCGTACGGTGCCGGTATACCGACGTACCCTGGTAGCTATTTCTATGTGCCGGAGCGGACCGTACCTCGCTACTCCACTAACAGAGTCTAAGGAGTCCCCTAATATGCGAGGACGCGTACCTCGCGCTTACTCGAAACCGTACCCTGAACTTTCAGCCGGGATGTCGTAAACATACCGCTTGTCGGCAGGAAACGCGCCGCTTTAGTTCCCGTTCTTATGTTTTCGCGTCGCGTTCCGCAAAAATATTCGTAACCTTCAACTAGAGCTCGGTAACCAGGTCGACAGTTCCACACGCCTACATACGAAGTGTAGCGAAGGCATATATGCCGAGTGAAGGTGGCGAACACGGGTTACGCAGTCTAACCCCTTACCCTGTTACGTTTCACCTTCCCGGACCATTTATACAAGTGTCAGCGAGTCTATAACGTTTACAACCCATTAGATAATCATACACCATTTTCCTGTTCACACAACACTTGAGAGGCCATGATCTTTTCAAAAAACCCGCGCGAAAATGCGCGAAAATGTCGAAACATTTTGCGCGAAAGGGGAAAAAAAACGCATTCCCGATCATTCGCGATTATAGTGTTGTGTAATATAGGTGAAATTTCTTCTTGGTTTTCACAGTTTTACTAGCTCAATCCAAACTTTATAAAGATTCATACAGAGTCTGTATGTATATTATTCAAGATTTCTGCGACATCAGTAGTGGCGAGAAGCAAGACAGTCAGGGTACGCGTAGGGAGTAAGCGAGTGTACGGTGCGGTATAGTCAGATCAGTTACCCGAGAGTACGTTCCGGATACCGGCACCGTACCCAGGGTACGTTCGCGGCAGCTACCCTGGGGGACATAGACCCTATCAGGCACCACTGGCACTGGCATCGCTAGCTCTAGTAACGCTGCATAGCGGTCTATGTCCCCAGGGTACTGCTGGAACGTACCCTGGGTACGGTCCGGTATACGAAACGTAACCTGGTAACTATCTGATATGTTAGGGTTGAGGGTTAGCGGAGTAGGCGTAGGCGACTCCCTAGACTCGTTTAGTGGAGTAGGCGAGGTACGGTCCGATCTAGATACCAGTACCAGGCCGCAGGGTACGTTCGGCAGTACCCTGGGGGAACAATAGCACCTTTCAGCTCTAGTAACGGTATAGCCCGCGTACGGTTGGGCTATAGTTACTAGAGCTCATAGGGATCTTATGTGGTCCCCCAGGGTACTACCGAACGTACCGTGGGTACGGTCCGGTATACCGCGAACGTACCCTGGTAACTATCTGAATACGGTTAGGGTTAGGGTTAGCGGTTAGGGTTAGCCGAGTAGGCGTAGGCGACTCCCTAGATCGTTAGTGGAGTAGGGCGAGGTTACGGTCCGGCATATTAGAGTAGTACCAGTAACAGCCCAGAGACATATAAATCAACGTTGATTTATATGCTCTGGTAACCGGGTCCGATACGGGTACAGGTCGTTTCCGGCAGTACCCTGGGGGACGACCTCAAGACCCTCTCCAGCGTTACTAAGAGCTATGGCATCCTAGTTCTAGCTAGTATCACGCCTGTACTGTAGCCAGCGGCGGCACCATGGTATTTTCTTAGCGGGGGGCGAAACCAGGGCGTGCTACAGGGGCACACGCGAAGGGGGGTTCCCTGACATCCCCTGGACCCCCCTGTACACGCCCCTGGGAACTGTAGACTCTGATACCCTGGCGCTGCGACTGACGGGTGGGTGCGCAACGGGTAGATTTCCATGATTCATCAAGCTGCGTACGCAAAATATTTTGCGTAAATCATGGTGTAGCGCAATCGACGTTCTTAGTTGCGATTCATCAACACAGCTATTTTAGTAAATTTCGTAACGAACTTTCGCGTACGCAAGCGAGGCCGTTTTTAGGTGGGGCGATTCATCAAGCTAAAATTGACGTAAACCTCTGCGTAAACTTTACACGAGCTGACGAGGCTGCCCGTAAACCACGTCGATAAATTTTCCGCAGGTGTTCCAGCATGACCTCAGCATGCCATATTTTATTAGAAAACATTATAAAATTACTACGTCCAACAAAAATAAATAAATAATTACGCATGCGTACACAGACAGGCGGCGCGTTTGACGCTTTTTTTTATCATAGTAGCTTGGCAATATAGCTGGCAATTGTTTTCGTTAATAAGCGAGTCGTAAGTTAGCCGTGTACAGTGCAACACGCACTGCACTTTGTCGGCAGCAACAAGCCTAGCGCACGTGTACGCTACACACGCACGCAACGCACGCCGCGTGTTACGCACGAAGCACAGCATGTGTACGGCACACGCACGCACGTGTACGTTGCCACACACGGACAACCCCCCCCCCCCCCACTGTAGTGGCACACGGCACGCCCACGCACAGCGTACGAGCGCTGCTTTCATCGAGCGTTGAGACAAATCATACAACGAAAATGAGGACAACTATCACATCCCCCAGCAAGCTGTCATTGTAGACAGCTAGAGCCATAATGGTTTACATACAAAGAGAGGCGTCAGTTTTTGGTTCCTATGGTATGTGTCGCACAGTGTGATTGGTTTATGCTAGCAGCTCACTCGCACACCCAGCAGCTACGATGGGCGTAGTGGATTTACACAACCACCGAATTCATCAACATTTGCGTACGCAGGTGGGCTAACGCTGCAGTTGATGAATCGCAGCCTACGAGCTTATGCGTAGGTACTTTCGAGAAAGCTCTATGTACGCAGATACACTTTGGCGCAACGTTGATGAAGTCCGTCCCCCAGGGCCCGCCTTAGTGGCGCCTCGGCGGGGTCCAGCGGCGCAAGAAGCCCGCTGCAGGGGTCCCGGGGAAGCTGCTCAGAGTTTAGCTAATCAAAGCCGCTCAAATTGCTGGACAAAAAAATTGTGAGGACCAAAGGAGGGCAACATATACCAAGGAGATGAAACGCCCGAGGGGGGGACCACCCCACATTATGGTAGTATCTGGTATGTGCCAGCTGGCGAAGTTTAAAAATGGGGGGGGCTCTGGAACTACTGCAGACGCTGAAAAATGGTGGTCTCTGGAACTAATGTTTGTTGAATGTGGTATGCTTTGGAACCGGCTATGTTGAAATGGGGGTCTCCCATAACTAGCTTAGATTCGTTGAAATTCAATGCCTATGAAACTGGACACGTTTAAAAGAGGGGGTCTCCGGAACTGTGGGGGAACAGTGATTTGTTTTAAAATCTATGCTGTAGCACTTGAACACAATAATTGTTCAATATGTAGGGGGGAGAGAAAAACATGACCCCGGAGAGAGTATGAACGCAGCAACGCGCACAAGACAACACGCACGGAGCGGCGCGCGCGTGGCGCGATACACACCTAACTAAAACTAGACAGAGGCACTCACGGAGAAGACTACCTCCGGCCAAGCGGACATAGCGCCATACGCCATACGACTCACGAAACACACCGAATAACCGACACGATATACGCCAGCGTACAATGTAGCGCTCGCTGCGCCGCTTCAGCTCCAGCAGGCAGCCGACTGTTGGCTGGCTGCGCTCAGCTGACGCGCTAAATATCGATCGCGCTCACACACACACACACACACACACACACACACACATAGCTGGCCACCACACACACACACAGCAACACACACACACACACACACACACACACACAGCCACACACACACACACACACAGCACACACACAGCACACGCTTAACATGTACACGAACGCAGTACCAGACCCGAATCACATAACCATCCCCTCCACTCGTGGCGAGGGTAAAATAAGATAGCAATGTAAGAGTATTGATTAGATGCGTCAGTCTGAACGTGTAATTAATAATTTTATAATGTTGTTAAC